CTTAGCCATTTTGAAAAGAAGACTAGTCAGTTTAGCAAAATAGCCAATCCAGATGCCAAGTCAGGATGGCTCCTTTGTTTTGGATACTGATCACGTGCTATGATCTTGGACAAATTGCATAACATCATGTGAGATGTATAAAAGAACAGGCTTTGCTGGGGTAAAGCGAGTCTTACAAGGCTAGCGTCAGTGAGAAGAGAAGCTTCAGCTCTCCTGTGATGGGCAGAGTAAGGCACTATTGAGACCAGCCTTCAAGGAAGGCCTCCTTTCCCTAGTTGCAGGAGTGGCATCAGCTTGCAGCCCTCAGCAGCTGTAGGGATCACGTGAGCTGTAGAGAGTGCTCTCAACCGACATCACACCCTTCCTGGAACTGTTGACATCCAGCCGCTACTAAAGGCAGGATTGGGGGTGCCAGATGTTTGCAGGTATCATCTAAGGAGAGTTTGGAAACTGTGAAATACTGCTGCCCCTTATCCGTGCGGAGAGCTGAATGCTTGGGTGCTGCTCCAACATCTGGATAAAGATATACACCTGGTTCCAAAAGCTAATTATTTAGTCCATCGACAATGAAAACTCAGGATCATTTTCAGATATTGCTCAATGCAATACATGAGTAAATTTTTAAAACATAATCAAGCCAGACATAAATGAAGACATAAAGATTTTGAGGTTCACAGATTTAAGGATAAATAGACAGAATATTTTTATTCTTTATTGAAAATTTAAGAATGAAAGGAAAATGGTAATAAAAGTACAAAAAATTTATAAATATTATTTTGAAAACAATAATTTTGCACATAAGTATACATAGATATATAATAGATACAGTTTAATAATTCCTGTATTAGCATCAAGCATTAAGGGTGGTTTATGGAACTTTATAGAATATCCGAGAACTTAAATAATATATGTTTCTGAAAATGTAACACATATATTGAAACTAGTGACATACTTATATCTCCTCTAATATATGACCTACTATTCAATGAGTGATTTGGTATCATTTATTCCTTAATTGCAGACATGATTTGAATATTATAGAGCATCTTCACAAACCTATGGCCAAGTGCAAACGCAAAACTAAATTGTGAATCTTTTCCTTATGTGAATTTATCTGATTTAACTCTGATTGCATGGTACACTATTGCGTATATCTGTTCTAAGCTCCATTTTCTAAAGGTCTGGTTCTTCAAACATTTTATTTGGTCTTCCCTTGAGAATGAGTAGAAATCTATGTTAAATAACATCAAAAGTAAATTGTAACTTAAATGGGGAGAGAGGAGTAATGGAATTATATCAAAATAAGTCACCTGGGCCCGGGGACTATGGGCTTTACATAAAGATCTCACAGCATTTTGCAACCTCAGGCAGTAGGGATTTACGAACTGTTAGTCTCTGCTTGGCTGCTCTGTAAGGTACTTCCATTCATGTCTGATTTAACAAATAGTAAACATAACCTCAAAGGAAAGAAATCAGGTTTTAAATCGTGAAGTACACATTGGACTTTTTTTTTTTGCATTAACAATGCATAGAGAAGAGAATCATTATGCATGGCATTGTTTTCAAAATAGAAAAATTGTATCTATTGGGACATTCCTTAGGCTTGTTCAAAAAGAAAATGTTCTCTCTATTTTTTTTAAGTATTAACAAGGGAAATGATTTCTGACTGCCTTGTTACTATAGGAAACTATATTTTCAGCAGGAGAGAAATGGGATTGCTTTCATTACTTTAATTGCATGACAGTTTTCCCAGTGCAGAAAAGAATTGACTTTGGAGGCTTACAAAAGCATTCATATGTAATGAAAACTCCTTGTCACATTGCAAATGCATATGATATTGTCCTACCTTTCAAAAAGATGTGAAACTTTCTGCAGCTGTTTCGCATAAAGTACTGTGACACCGGGTAATTTAACTTTTGAGATATTTCATCCATAAAAAAAGTTTTTTGAGACAGAGTACAGATAACCCAACTGCCTTCATTCATATTTACCATTTGCTTTCATTGAATGCATAAATGATTTTCCCAACTGTGTAATGAAGTTTATCCAAAGTCTTCCCTAAACTCTATGCACTCTCCTTTTGAATGAAGTGGGTGAGTTATACAAAGTCTGTAATTTATGTGCAATGAGGAAAAATAAAGCAGAACAAGGAAGTGTTCTGATTTAACTACAGGGAAATTATTTAGTTGGGGGCAGGTATCTGTTCTATGTCTGTAACCTCACTTTTCTTTTTTAGGTGTTGTTTTTATTAGCACACAGCAGCAATGAAAGAGTAAATTATAAACATTCATCATCTAAACATTGCATTTATTGATTTTCTTATATGCGGCACTTTGCGTCGTTGGTGATATATGTAAGAACCAAAGAAAAAGGAAAGGTTATAACTGTTCACTGATTATGAATCTCCCATGAGAGTTTAAAAATGAGTTAAAAAATGTTACTCTGTAACAGTACATTAATAGGAAAACACTCATTTAACATGCTTTAGATGCTTCATCTATGGCTTAAAGGGACAAAGAATTTTGTGCATGCTAACATGTGTGTGCCATTACTTACTGAAAAGCTTCTATGTCTATCTCATATTTACATACAATCTACCATTCTCAAATCAAGGTAAATAAGTGCTGGTTTTAGAAGGTGACAATGATTCCTGATGTTTTAATTTTCCATGACATAAGTAGATTGAGATTAGCTGTATACCTTTTACTTTATTATATTGGCAGTTGAAGCAATAGCATAGCAATCCAAATGTGTTAATGACAGCTTTTGGCTTTCAAATGGATTTGGATGAATATATGACTTGGCTCCATGAAAATGGATTCTCCTTTACATTTGAAAATTCATTTAATTACTGTGTACAATGGGTGCACAGTAGAATTAATAAGTTTAAGTATTGATTAGTGATTAGACATTAGAACTGAAATACTACATAAAAGCTTGTTTCTACCTCACGTTTTGTTAACTAGTTATGTCCAATACAATTATCACCTTTTAGTATATCAGTATGAAAAAAAATCTGTTCAATGTTCTTAAAGCATGCAAACTAGACTTTTTGGAGAGTACATTTTTCAAATGCTATTTGAAATCTATTTAATGAGGTTAAATAGTGGAAATTAAAATATTTTAAAGTTCATAAACTCAGATTGGCGATAGGAAGCGAATGTTGATCAACTCAAGAAGCAGTAGCTGAGAATCAGGTCCTTGGGTTGTAATTTTGGGTCCATCACATCTTCTCTGACCTTGGGCAAGCTACTTTCTTCATTTTGTCTCTACTTTGTTAAACTTTGTAACAGGTAAAATATTTTTCTTTTTTATATAGTTCTAGATTTTAGTGGGGGCACTTTGTAGGCAGAAATGTTACTGCCTACAAACATAGGTTCTTTACCAGCCACACAAGAGGGGCCAAATAAAAACTGGAATGTCAGGCTTATGGCAAGGAAAGGTTTTTATTCGGATGGCATCAGCTGGGAGATGAGAGTGAGCCCTCAAATTTGTCTCATTTCGTCTTGTCTCCCTGTAAGAGGGGAGGCAAGGGATTTTAAAGGTTTGTGAGGAATGTGGCTGCTTGTAAATGGGGGGTAGTCAGTGGCATTGCTGGTCAGAGCTTTCCCACCAGCCTGCGTTTGGCCTTGGGACGCTGTATACAGGGAAGAAGAGGAGATGATAAGGAATCCAGGTAGCTGTCCTTGGCCATCTGTCTCCATGGCGGCTAGTGGATTCTGGAGCCAGGGAGCCAGGGAGTAAGAAGAGAAAGAGTGCTTTGGTTTTCACCCCATGTATGCTTGGTTTAATGTAGGGCAACTTATATCAGGGCTGGTATCAGACATACTGCCTAAAGGGAAGAAATGGTAATAAAAAATAAATACAATAAATACACTTAACTGAAAGATAAGAGTCTAGTGCATTATTTGTATGGAGCATGAAACGAAGCAGGTTTAAGTTCTGTCCATCTTTTTCTAGTGGATGCTACAACATGCATAAAATGTCAAAGCACTGATTTACATTGTATACATTCTCTGAAAAGGTCAATGTCCAATGCTATGCCACTTATTCAGTAGTTTTGTTTTCCAGAAACTTTATTTCTCTGTAATGGGGTCAAACATGAGAAAAGACGCCAAACACCTAAAAGAGCTATTGTCAAGCCCACCTCTAGAACTATGCTATTGCTTTTTGTCTGCACTCAGAATGTTGATGACTACAGATAATTTAACATATTATTGTTCACAGTTTGGGCTGTTTTTCCACAATCCACAGCAAGCAAGAAACAGTTGAGCAGAGAGGGTTTGGGAATGATGACAGCTGAAGAAGCTCAGCTAGGCGAGAGCAGATGCGTCAATGTGACAGTCAGGTATCAAAGAATAAGACAGAAAAGTTGTAAAACAAATTGAAACAGTATGGTGAGTTTTCCTACGATTGAGCCTGAATTGACAACAAAACAAAGAAATGAAACCATCTTTGATGTCCTCTGATTACATGAAGTTTATAATTTAAAGTATGTCATAAAACCATAGAAAATTAAACCAGGGAAGGATGTGAGAGATTATCTGAGACTATATGTCCTCAATTTGCAGATGAAAAACTGAAGCAATATGAGTTTCATCATTTACCCAAGGTTATAAATAAAGATTTAAAATTAATAAAATTTTACTTCTCTGGGTAAACTTTAGTTGTTTATAAAGTTCTCTGTGTGGAATGGTTTGTTCCTTAGAAATGTAGTGTGTGTGTGTGTGTGTGTGTGTGTGTGTGTGTGCGTGTGTGTGAAGCTAAATAGCTATATGTATATAATCATATTTATTTATATACCAACATATGCATCTTTCTAGCCACTATATGAGAAACATATGTCTTAGTTGTCAAGTATAACATTCCTCCAATATTTCTACAATATTTTTTAAACTCATATTTGAGGTTAAACATATTTATGCTATTAGGATTCACCCTAAATTTATAAGTCTATAATCTGGAAAAGAAACCTGATTAAGTCCAGAATTCTTAATAGTAGGTATTGGGGTGGGAGTAAGGAAGTTGTTCCCTCCTGGGTCCTGTTATCTTACAGATACACATGATAACAGATGGAAATCACCTAGGTAAATCTGTTATATATATGCTAAGTGGCAAGCCAGAAAGAGAAGAAAGCAGTGAGGTATGGGAGATGTTCAAGCCATGCATAGCCCTTTATTACAGTAGTTCATGTTTTCCAAATGTGATGAATGAGCCACTTGCATGAGAATCACTGCAATCATGTGCCAATGATGTAGCTCTGACACCTGTGTCGGAAGAGAAGGCAGGAAAGAGGCATGGGTGGGAGGCATCTCAGATCGTAGAGCAGCTCTGAGAACACTGTGACCAGGTCAAAAAGGAGAGGCAGAGACCAATTTACCATATGCGTGCCCCCATGAGTGCACATGCACATACACAACACACACATATTTATGCGAAATATAATTAGACTTGAGGAGACTTTTAAGAGGAAGTAATTTCCAGGCAGAAACCTAAAGAATGAGTAGAAATTACCCAGGAGAAGAAAAAGAAGTATATAGAGAAAAGAATGCTCTAAGAAAAAAAATTAGCATGTGCATTGACTTGGAGGGGATACTGAAACCTTCGTATATTTGAAGAACTGAAAGAAATTCAATCTCTTGAAGATGGAGTATGCGTAAGTGACTGTGGATACCAGAGAATCAGGTCAGCTCTATCACAAAGGGATATATAAGCCTGGGCAAGGAGTTAGGGTTTGAGGAAAAAGTCTTTTAAGATGGCAGAGATTAAGCATGTTTAAATACTGATGGGAAGAAGTTGATAAAAGGAAGAAGTTGAAGAACAAAGAAAGAGAAGAGAGATTTGACAGACAGTCTCTTTTAGAAGCAGCATTGGCCCTTACCTTGTGTTCCTTGTAAGCAGAGGAAAGAGTTTCTTTATTTCTCTCATCAGAGCCAAACTTCATGAAAGAGTTATCCTCATTCCCTGAATTGTTTTCCACTTAAACATCTCATTCCTCATCCCATTAAAATTTGCTATTAACTCTATGCCCCTCAGTGAACTTGCTCTAACCGAAGTAATCAATGATCCCCTTGAAATAAATCCAACGGCTAGTCTACATCACTTACTACATTTTCAGTGATCTTTGATTATGTTGCTCATTACTTTCTTCTCCAAAGAATCTCTTCAAAGTGCCTGCACATCTGCACCAACAGACAAGAATATTTACGATGGTATCTGTACAATAGCCTCAAACCAGAAGCAATTAAAATCTTCATCAAAATTATAATGGATAGATAAATTATGTTTGTCTTAACTAATAGATTATTATACAGTAATAAAAAGGAAGAACTTTAGCTATATGCACCAACATGCTGAATCTCGCAAACATTAATGTTAAGTGAAAAAACCCACACACAAAATATGTTTCTGGTTACTTAAAGTTCAAAATGCAGACCAAACTATACTATGCTTCAGAACTCAGGAGAATTGTTACGTTATGAGTGAGAGGGTGATGTTGGTAAGGAGCATGTGGGACTCTTCTAGGTGCTAGAAATATTTTACTTTTTGACCTGGATTTTTGTTACGTGAGTTCACTTTAAAATATTCCATCAAGTGGAAAATTTGTGTTTCATGAACATTTATTTCCCTTTCTGCATTGTATCTCACAATTTTAAAAAAATTTAAGAACATTAAATCAAGAATGCTAAATAGAACCACGCTTTCTCCCTAGCTTTTGTAATATTATTCTCTTAACATTTTTCATATTTTTCTGGCTGTATCTTCTTAGCATCCCTTTGTAGGGTTGACTATCCCTCAAATTTTGAGAGTATTCAGGGCTCTCACTTATGTCTTGTCCTCACATTTCTTTTTGGTAATCACTTGCTTTAGCAGGCTGTCAGTTGTTATCTACAAGCCGTGTATATTTCAAGTTCAGATCACTTTCTTAAGCTCCAGGCCCACATGCCCAATTCCATAATTAATATCTCTTCTGGAATGCCCCACAGCCACCTCAAATTCAGCATGGCCCTAATGTAAGTATTGTCCTACCAGAACATCTCCTCCCTGCTCCCCAGCTTTCCCTCTTTCAGTGAATAACTTTATTTATACCCAGTTGCCCAACCCGTGAATTTAGGAATTATGCTGAATCTCCCAGTCCACATATTCCCATCCTATAAATTGCGATGTCCTGTGGAGCATATCTCCTAAATAAGCTCCTAATTTGCCTATGTCCTTTCAGTTTTCTTGCCAGCCGACTGTCCAGGCAACAATTATTAATTGCTTGCATTTCTTTTTTTGTTTGTTTGTGAGGAAGATTAGCACTGAGCTAACATCTGCTGCCAATCCTCCTCTTTTTGCTGAGGAAGACTGGCCCTGAGCTAACATCCGAGCCCATCTTCCACTACTGTATATGTGGGATGCCTGCCACAGCATGGCTTGACAAGCAGTATGTAGGTCTGCACCTGGGATCTGAACCAGCGAACTCCTGGCTGCTGAAGCAGAACGTGAGAACTTAACCACTGTGCCACCAGGCTGACCCCTAATTGCTTGAGTTTCTGTGTCAGCGTCCTTGGTGCATCCCTGACTTCTGCCTTGCCCCTATCAATCTAACCCACCAAAAACCAGGCAGCTAAATGTTTTTAGAATGTGGTTATGGATTCTGATCTTTTCACTCTGCTAATAAATCCAGCATGTTCCCTTACATTTGTGTAAATTTTTTTTTCTATATACTAGATGAATTTCATTAAGATAATTAGATACACACCAGCTTTCAAAGGATACCATGCATATGTACATTAAATAAAGGACTTAAGCTCTGCCAAACTTAAAATTATCAAGCAAAGAATAAAATAATACTCTACAAACACTAGAGTATGCATGCATAGTGGATCATTTATTTCCAGAGCTTGTCCTTCATACACACCTCGTTCTAGTGGAAAGAGTACCACCTATGCTCCCTGCATATTTTCTTGGGCACGTTCTTGCCAATTCCAAACCTAGCAGCTTGAAAAGTGTTGGGAACTAAAAAAAGAAACAGACTATTCCCTTAGCTTCTATGTCATACTACTGTAGTGTTTTCTTTTTCTTTTTTTTTTTTTTGTCTGCACCTTCTCATTAGATTTGAGCTGGAAAGCAACTTATATTCCTAAAATACAAAAATATATGACTGTGAACCCAGAGAATGTATCTGTTGTGTTTACTGCTCTAGTCCTAACACCTGGAACAGTGCCTGGCGCACAGTAACTTTTCTCTGCGTTAAAAGTCTCCAAGGAATGAATGAGCCTAGCATCTGTGCTGTCAGATTCTTTTTTGAGAATCTATGCCAAAAAGTGCAGAGAGAATTCATCAGTCAACAGTTGGCATTTAAAATGAAAAGTCATTACGTAGAAGGATCAAGAGAGATTGTTAATTTCTAGGGACGGTCTAATCACAGTGATGTGGAGCATACCCTATGAAAAAAGAGCAAGGCAGATTAGTGGAAAGTAAAGACACAAAATGTATAGCCAAATCCTATTAACTGATTGGCAATAAAGAAAGTCCCAGGAAGATTTCTAACTAGGCACTGCCTCTTTATGCTGTCTTCTTATACGTTTTTACTTGTCCTAATCGAACCACATGTTTGTGGAGTCCAGTGAGCTCCCGTTCTGCATGACCTGCTGCACCTCACCAATAGATGGTGCGTACTTGGTGACCGAAATGCCCAACCAACACATAGGCCAATCTTTCAGATTGGCAGCAAAGAATAATAGATAAGCGTCTTTTTGAAGTAGAATGGAGGAGACAACATGGCTGAAAATACTTTCTGTAGATAAAATTAAAATTAGCAGATGGTCTGGAAACACATGCTAGTTGAGGCAGCACATAGAGGATAAAGCAAAACTGGGTAAATAATTGGATTGAGAACAGGATCTCCTGGATTTCCTTCTCAATTCTAATACTTCCTAGCAGTGAGGCCCTGGGGAATTCACTTAATTTCCTTGAGTCTAGTTTTCACACGTGTGAAATAAGAATAAAAACTGCCTTGGCTACCTCCCTGAGGCTTTGGGAAGATCAGGCCTGATAATATCTGTGAAACAGCTGTATGAAATTTACAGCTATCTTTAAATCATCATTTTTGTTATAATCATTATCATAAAGAACTCTACCGTGTCCAGTGGGACTTCTTTACTGAAACTGTGTCTTTTGTCTTTTAAGAGAGATTCTAAAGTGCGTTTCAACTTTGTATTTGGTGGTAACTGAAGCAGCTTATCTCTGGAGTCTGCGAATTCAAAGCCAAGCATAAGGAACTGCAAGTACAGGTCTGAAACCCGATGGAAGATCAGGGAACTACAGAGAGTCTAGTTCAAGGTAAAGCTGCCTCTTGATCACTTTCTTTAGGCAGAAAAAAAATGAAAAAGGAACAAGAAGAAAAGGCAAAAAGACACTGCCACCCAGAATGGAAGTCTTCATATAATAATGTCTGAGCCCGGCTGCTCGCGAAGGATTTAATCACTGCTTACTTTAGGAAGACATAGAAGGAAGGATGTCACCTCAGCCTCTGAAGAGAGAGGTCAAAATCTGCCTCCGCTTTTTGTGGCAATTAATCCCACTGCATTCTTGCTGTGAGAGATCCTCAGGGTGGCAACTGCTTTATATAGAAGGAATCTTTCTCATTGTTACATATCTAGATTCCAAGGCTGGTTGCATCTGTGTGTCTACTACAGTGGATAGTGACAGAATGGCTAGAGAATGCTTATACAAAAAGGAAGATAAAATAACCTTAACATCTAACTGTTTCATTACAAACGCAATGCGCTTGGGTGCTCAGTTGCATTTTTAAAATATTTCTGTGGTATTGGTAGTGAAGCTCGAATTTAATCCTGTGATTCATCTGAAATTTGGGGCCCATAGTGAATTAAAATTAGAAATAAATCCGGCTGCTCCAATGTTTCCTCTTCCAGCAAATGCAGAATTAGGAATAAATCCCAAGGATTTAGCTTGGGAAAGATAAGAACCTCTTGACCTACCTCAGCACATAACACATCAAAGCAAGCCTAGTTTGATTTCCTTTGTTCACTTTTAGTTTATTCTAAGCAAAAGCAAGGAAAGAAGGGACTGTTCGATTATGGATGGTTTTACATTTCCCAATTCTCAAGGATTTACCACATCTTTAAGCAATCACCAGTGTCACTAAACAATTCATAGCTTTGTTGTATATAGCAAAGTTACAAGAAGAGGCAATTGCAACAGTAACGCACAATAGCTAAAGTCATATATTCCATCATCACGAGATGTTGGAGATAATTTATTCATGTCCTTTTAATTTGTAGGTCAGAGAAATGAGATCCAGAAAAATTAAGTGACTTACAAGGTCACAGAACTGGTTAAAGTTGAAATCAGGACGAGAACACAAGTTTTCTGACTCTTACACCAACGAAGTTCTCCATTTGCATTCTATCTCTCCTTCTTTTCCCCGGAAATACTTCTGTACTAATGCTTCCAAACAAGAACTCATTGCTCTGTAAACATGTCAGATTTATTAGGCTGCAAGAATAAAACTATCATGATAATACATTTTTGTATTTTGTCTATATTGATTGGTCCAGAACAGGTAGTGCAAAACTTGATGCCTTTCAAAAATATCTGCTGTTAATAAATGGCCTCTTCTGAGTTGCAAAGACAGTGTTGAAACTCAGTGAGCAGACATACCAGTGATAGCGATGGCTCTGTGTCATTTTAATATATGTTCAGTAATGATATCATTTTACAAATAAGCTGATACGAACTTTTAAAGAAGAAAAATAAACATAAGATGAAGTTACAAAAATCAAGTACTGCTTGAAAGTGAAACATAATATTACAACCAAAACATAAATCCTGAAATCAGCATCTGCTTCATATGCTCAGTTTTTAAAATTAATTAAAAAATCTTAACTTATAAATAATAATTTTTTTCATTGATAGAGACAAAACACCCAACACAATCACAATTATTTGTGTGCATTTTTGTAATTAAGGAGGTAGTTTGTTTGAGTTCCTATTTTTAGGAATAAATATCTCAAAAGACTAAAAAGGAATAAAAAGGTGAATGAAAAATAAACATTTGTACAATTACAAATATTTGGCTTTCACCAAGCTGTCAAATTCTCTTCTCTTGACTGCAAAGTCATCCAGTAGGGAAATATGGGGTTTATGTAAGTTTTTTTTCTGATGTAAGTGTATCTTGAATCCTGCAGGCGACTGGATATGCAGGTGTAGTAGGCTGAATAACCCACTCCCCCCATAAAAGAACCACATTCTAATAATCAGGACCTGTGAATGCTATCTCATTTGGAAAAACGAAATTTGGAGACGTGATTAAAATAAGGATGTTGAGATGGAGTGATTATTTTGGGTTATTCGTGAGATAATTAATCATGGATTACCTCATGAATCTTAAGAGTCCTTATAACAGATAGGCAGAGAGAGGTTTGACTACAGAAGAGGAGAAAGTCATATTACCACGGAAGCAGAGATTGAAGTGATGTGGCCATGAGCTGAGGAATGCAACAGCCACCAAAAGCTGAGAGAGACAAGGAACCAAGATTCCCCGAGAGCCTCCAGAAGGAACCAGCCCTGTCACCACTTTGATTTTAGCCCCCAAAGACTCATTTCTGTTATGTGGCCGTCAGGACTGTCAGAGGATAAATGCCTCTCATATTAAGCCACTAAGTTTATGGTAATTAATTACAATAGCAATAGGAAACCAATACAATAGCAAAGGATGAAATCATCAAGATAAAGAATGGTGTCATCTAATCAGAAAAAGTGATTGAAATTAAATAATGTCTTAACCCTGGAAACGGAGTAAAAATCTCATGGAAAAGTTTAATATCTTCATATCATCATCTTATCCTCCTGTTGTTAAATTCATTAGAGATAAGAAATACATAATATGTCATCTAACCTGTGCCCTGGGTAAAGGAGGATTAGACATTGGCAGAACTTTGGCCATTCCTCATAACTTTGAAGACGGCTCATCCAGGATACCTGAAAATAGCTTCCTCAATAAGAGGCTGCTCTGAATAGAATTTAGTCCCAACTTACAGTTTTCATTGCTGCTTTTTTTTTTCTGATATTCTCTCTACTTATTGTAACACTCAATTAAAATAAAGCCCTTATTTAAGGTTATATACCGTGCTAGGTTTGCACATGGACATTTCCCATATCGTAATATGGGGACCTAATTGCAAATGCTCACAGGCCACACTATCATGAACAATCCTTACCAAGCCCAGAGGAGAAGACAAATGAAGGTAGGTGAGATGCCCCAAGCTCTTGCTCTCACATCTCCTCCCCCAACACAATCTCCATCTATTTACAGAGCACCTCCACCTGCCGGCAGAAGCCAAATTCTAACCAAGATGGGGAGCTCTCCAGAGAGCACTAACTTGAATTGGGATAAAGGTCAAGCTATTTATAAGAATGCAAATGTGAAATGTCTGCTCATTTTATTTTATGGACACATTCAAAAACAGCCTTGGGAAAGAGAACAGGAGATTAAATCAAAAGTAAATTTTAATAGGTAGAACATAGAATCTGGAAGCTTAAAATCTGGAAGTGAATCCAAGCTTCAGCATTTTCCATTTTCATCCCTCAGGTACTCTAGTAGATACATACTAAGGCAAACCTGGTGAGTCACACCCTGAGGCTGGGTGCGATCTGTGATTTGCTTCCAGTCAATAGAATATGGTAGAGGTGATGGGAGGTCACCCCATGATTACATTGCACTATATGAGACTCCATCTTAGCAGGTGGGGCAAGTTCTCTTGTTGGCTTTGAAGACATTTGGTGGCATGTTATAAGAAGGCCTGTGGGAGGGTCATGTGGCAAAGAACTGAGGGAGGGGGCAGCTCCAGGAGCTGAGAGTGGCCTGTGCATACTAGCCAGCAAGGAAACATGACCTCAGTCATAAAGCTGCAAGGGAATGAATTCTGCTAACAATCATGTGAGCTAGGAAGAGAACAGCATCCTAGGAGGGAACACAGCAGGCTGACATCTTGATTGCAGCCATGGGAGACCCTAGAGAACTCAGCCGAGCCATGTCCCAACTCCTGAACTGCAGAAAGGATGAGATAATAAATGCGGGTTGTATTAAGTTGCTAGGTTTGTGGCAATTTATAAAGCAACAATAGAAAATAAGTAATTCTATAAAGTCTATAAATCATCTTCTTAGAGGTTGTCAAATAATGCATGTAGAATAACTTGTGTATAGTAAAACCAGTGAATATTAGTTAGCAATATCCCTAATTTCCTATTTTCAGAAATAAGGGTTCAAAACCATGCAAGATCTATAATTCTATAATTGTTTTTCATATATAAAGAGGTTTGACCATCGTTAAGCTTTGAGAAATTTGTTAAACCTCATAATTCCCAAACCAGGATATAATCTAATCAATCTACCAATTTGGAAGACAAACATTTTGTTTCTATCGGTCAACATATATGAATTCCACTGTTTTACATTTTGATGTATCTAGTCTATGAGACCGAAGTAATATTTTTCCAAAGAAGTTATTTCACGTAAGTCATTTTAAAGAATCATCTTAACCCTAATTTGGGGTGAAGGATTAGTGGAACAAGCTGGACTTTGTAGATCGTAACGTGCACTTGGGTATCACTTTGTGATGGAGGCACAAACACCAGTCAGTTGTGTGGAGTTTAAAGTCAAAGACGCAGCTTACATCTAAATTCTGTTCTTACTTTTTATCTGATCTTATAAGTCACTTAACTTCTCTTGGGATCACAATTTTCCTCACTTCAAATTGAAAGTATCTCTCATAATTATTGTTGATGTCCATGATGATATTTTCTAAATTGTCCCCCTTTTTCTACAATCTCAATTATGTAGTTAAATTCTCTTTTGTGATAGTCATTTTGTGTGCGTGTGTATGAGGAATATTGGCCCTGAGTTAACATCTCTTGTCAATCTTCCTCTTTTTGCTTGAGGAAGATTGTCACTGAGCCAACGTCTGTGCCCACCTTCCTCTATTTTATGTGGTACGCCACCACAGTGTGGCTTGACCAGCAGTGCTAGGGACATGCACGAGCGAACCCGCAAACCCGGGCTGTGGAAGCAGAGTTTGCAAACTTAACCACTATGTCACCAGACCAGCCCCCGTGATAGTAATTTTTAAAAGAAGCTATTTTAACTCTGTTCTTTTTGATTCTCTGACAGTTACTTCTGCAGCTCTCACAGCCATTATCCTTTCCATCTCTTCAGTTTCTTTTATTCAATGACAAAATCCATCAAGGTGATCAAAGAAAACGTCAAACATGGTAAGAATGTTGAATTAGATCATCAGCACATTTCAAAGCTTTCTGTTTCTGCCACTATCACAAGAAAGTGAGTACCTAGCAAACTGTTAGAAAAATCACTGATCAGGATTTAGAAGAAATTAATTGTGCTATAAATTAAAATTTGTGATATAGAAACTCAGCTTTTATAACTCCTAAAAATCAGCACTGGATATAATATGTAGCATTGCGTATAGTAATGTGGCACTGTGTGTAATGTAACATTTTTCAGTACATTTGGAAAGCAGGGCCTCCATTGTATGAGTGGTTGATCGTCATAGGGATTACTCAGTTTAACTTTGAATTAAGCACC